CTACTAATAAAATAAATATTAATCTATTAAATAGGTAATTAAAACTAATAAAATAATTTATAAACTATATAAAAATATTAAGAAAATATAAAATATAATATAAAGCTAAAAATAAATATATAATAATATAAAAAAAAAGTAAATTCTATTACAGTTTATATTATTATTATTATTATTATTGTTTTTTTTTTATACTAAGTGAAATATAAAGCAAAATATAAAGCAAGCTATAAATAAAAATAAAGTAATTTAATAAAGAAAATAATTTTTATACTCAAAAGTAAATGTTAATATTTAGTATTATTCTAAATTATTCTAGATAATTCCTATTCAAATTTTCATTATTATTTTATATTTTTAGTAATCAATCTTTAAAATCTGCTTTTTTTAGTATTTTTGAGTTTTACAAATTTCAAACATTTATAAAGGTATTCTATATCTTTAACACTAGTTTTTTAGTACTAGTTAAATGCTTGCAATTGCAAATAAACAGCATTTTTTGAGATGATGTGCATGCTCAGTTTGTATTTAAAATTTTTTTACTTGTTGACTAAGTGTTATTTAAATAAAAAAAAAGTATTAAGTAGCACAACTGTAATAAAATAAGATAAAAATTAATATATATATACTGTATATATATATATTGATTTGCATAAATAAATCGAAAATGAAAAATAATTTATTCAAACTTTTATTATTATTTATCTTATTCATTTACAAATAATAATAAAATAGTTGTGCAATTTTGTCATGCAAAACCAGGAACAGAAGACTTAAAGTATTGGTATTGCATCTAGTAAATATATAGGTTGTTACACTATTGTACATATATAGTAATGTATTATATATACAATACACTATATACTGTATAAGACAGAATTTTTGAATGATTGTACAGTATGACTTTTAGAATCCAGGTTAGTTAGTATAATTGTAACTAACTAGTATAATTCTGATTGGGTTGCATAATGCCACAAACTGTGCAGTAGTTCATTCCTAACTGTAGATATTATACACAAATTTTTGCTGATTCTTTCTAAGGTAGTTAATAAAGTAGTTCTGTACGATTGTATAAATATGTATGAATGTACAAAGATTTAGTAAAATTTTGATAGTGTGTAATTAACATAGGTTTGTAAAATTAATTTTTACAAGTCCATTATCTGTTTGACACAGGGAAGTGACGAATTATTAGGCGTGACTAATAAATATTAGTTAATTATTTAGCTAATGCTTGCTCATCACACAAATGATTCATCACATCTTCATGCCAAATGAAAGAGGAAACCCAATCCTTTATAAGTAAACCATTTTTTATGTTTAGAGTTAGGGCAAGTGCGAGCATTGTTCTTTTTTCGTATGAGGTTATAGAAAAATTAACTTTTTCAAAAGAATTTTTTTTTTACAAATCGTACGTACTATCATGATTTCCTCATGTCCGCCCCTATTTGCGTTACCATACTGTATTAATTTACTATATACCAGCTAATCATTACTAGGCATGTGATGTATGGTGACGTAGATCACTGAAGACAAATAAATGTTTAAGTTAACCCAAATTTTATTAACCGGTTCTGACCTCTGCTACCAACACGAAATCACACTGATCCCAAAAATCCGATTGGCCGTATCGACTGGAACAAAAACTCCCAGCGCATAGGTAAGCGCCTCACTTGTTATTTCTATTTAACTCAATATAAAAGCAACATTTATTATTAATGAATATACATAGCTATCCTACCATTAATTTTTATATAACAAGGGTTAGCATATGCGCCAATCGGCAGAATTGGACCTTAAATACCATAGGATGACTTTCGTATAATTGGCTGATTATTTTACATTATTTATACAGTTTAAAGTACTTTTTAGAAAAAATAAAATTACGAAGAATAAGCATATAAAAAGTTTTATTAGGGTTGTAGGACTTAACCATTAAAAATAATTAAAATCACTTCTGGTTTTAGAGAGGTTGGTATAATAGCGACTTCTTAAAGATAGATAGAATTAGGTTATCACCATGCTAACTTCCCTAAAACAAAAGGGATTTTGATTATTTTAATAATGGAGTCTTACAATCATAATAAAACTTTCTATATACTTCTTTTTTGTTTATTCTTCTTGTTTTTATTTTTTCTAAAAACTACTTTAAACTGTATATATAATGTAAAATTAAATTGATTTAAAACAGTCAATCATACGAAAGTTTTCCTATGACCTTAAATACGTACTATTCTGCACTACTCTGTAAAAAGGATTTAATGTATATGCATAGATTTTAAACTAACCATTTGTCCGAGCCTACTGAGACATGTCCATTTTGAAGCAGTAATAATTTTTCTGCACCAAGCATATTGTCAAACGACTTAACCAACTATAAAAAAATTCTTGGGGTACTAAATTTCTTTTGCATATCGGCCCATTGGTTAGGTCATTAGATGTGAGTAATGATTGGAACTGGCGTGATTGGGCGGGCACTCTAGTTATAATTATTTGCATCGGGGTTATGTGCCAATTTATTATAACTGATTACAACTGTTTTCATAAATCCTGGGACATCCAAAATTTGTTCATTTCCTGAAACTTCTTCGATCTCGTTTCAAGAATCACTCAACTTTTTCGAAAGCTATGTCGTTGTCTCTGTATCGAAGTTACAGCGAAATGGAAGAGGTTTCGGGAAACAAGCAAGTCGCAGAATTTATGAAAACAGCTGCAATCGGATTTAACCGGAGAAATATAACCGATTCATATATTCGGTTGTGATTTTTGAAACCGGTTCCAATCACTGTCTCCCGCACTATATAAATGACGTTACAAAAAACAATTAAGAGAATAGATTAACCTATTATCGTAACATGGGTGACACCAAGGTTTTGAGTATTGAACCAGTTTTAGTATCCAAAGATCCTTTTGAAGACAATTCAAAAGACCTTTCCTTAATGTCTAATAGTGAAGTAAGCGAGATTCCTGCAACACACACCGAAGAATTTAATGATCTTGACTATGGTAGTAGTGAAGAAATGCAAGATCAAACTGTTAATGGGCCAAGGCAGAGACCTAGGGCTGGACGTAGTAATATAGACGATTCAACCGCAGAGAAAAACATTGAGGAGGGTGCAAGCGAAGTAACTAAAAGGTTATCAACCTGGTTTAGTTCTCTTTGGGTTTCTCCTCAAGAAATGAGTGGTGACGCTTCTGAAAAAGACGATCCTGATTTTGCTCATTTTAAGAAAGGATTATTTAATAGTTTCAATAATACAAAAAGCGAAGCTACTATAGATTCTTCCAAAGATCACTCAATTTGGTTAATGGGTGTACGCTATGAAGCAAATAACGATCGCATATCAAATGAATTTAGTGGTTCTTTTTACGAAACAAGTTACTATTATTCTACCCCTGGTACCTTTCCTCACCTTTCAATGCAACAACCGATATTATCACCGGCTAATTTTCCCGCAGATTTTTACGATGATTTCACTTCACGGATATGGTGTACATATAGACACAATTATGCTCCTATAAGACCAACGAACTTTACAAATGATGGAGGTTGGGGTTGCATGTTAAGATCAGGACAATCATTGCTTGCTAATGCGTTGATATTGCAATTCTTGGGTAGAGGTCTGTAAGTTTCTTTACATGTATTAATCAAAATTATCGAATATTGAATTTTTCTGCCGCAACTATTGCTGATTTTTTTTTCTTTTAATTATAGAATGGCGAAAGGTACCTAAAGGAGATGATAAGTGGAATACCTATGTAAAGGTTAGGATAGTTAAATTATATATTTATATTTATGAATTTATACCCATGAGTAAATAAATAATTAACCGATATTTCTAAAGATTCTTATCTGGTTCATTGATGATATGTCATCACGGTGTCCATTCTCTGTTCACCGTATTGCGTTATTGGGCAAACAGCTTGGAAAGAATATTGGAGAGTGGTTTGGACCATCAACAGCATCTCAGGCCATAAAGTACGAAAAAAATCTCTTCCACTTTATTATTATTATTATTGCTATTTATTATTATTTATTATTATTATTATGATCATTATTATTATTTCATTCAATATTAAGACTATTGATTGAACTTTATTTACTTTCCTTGTTACTGAACCTTGGCTATATAGGGCTTTGGTCGAAGATTTCCCTGCTGCAAATTTAAGCGTATATGTGGCTACTGATGGCGTGGTGTACAAAAATGAAGTTTACAAAGCAGGTAAAAATAATCGAACAGGCAAAGATTTTCAGTCTGTTTTGATTCTAGTGGCTATCCGGTTAGGAATTAATAACCTAAATCCAATTTATCATAATGCGCTCAAGGTAAATTTCACTTTTATTGCCGACTAATTCGTATGACCTATTCTCTACCTTTTCATAATAATCAATCTAATAAATTGTTTAGGAATGTTTTAAATTTCCACAGAGCGTCGGAATAGCTGGGTATGAATATCATGTAACTGTGGTATATCTATAAGAATTTTCTTATATTGTATTAATTAATAATTTTAATTTTGTACAGTGGTAAACCATCATCATCATATTATTTCATTGCAACACAAGGTATCTTTGTCTGTTTTGTGCGTACCATACAATTCGATAAAAGATTAAATATTCTTAAACATATATATTTCACCATTTTACAGCTGATGATCTATATTATCTTGACCCGCATCATTCAAGACCTGCACTTGAATTAAAATCAATGGAAGAGTATACAGAAGAAGTAAGGTGTTAAATTTTTAATCTTACTTTCATTTCACACTTGATTAAATTTTTTTTTTTTTTGGCCATAGGAACTGTCGACTTTTCATTGCGATACACTACGTAAAATACATATATCACAACTTGACCCTTCAATGCTTCTTGGTTTCTATTGTCGGACGAGTGATGAATTCGAAGACTTCTGTAAACGAGTCGAAGAGGTATGTGAAATTATCGCTTTTTCCGAATTAATGGTAATCGAATTTCATAAATTTTTTCGTGAATCCCACTGGTTTACGGAATACTGCATTACAACCTATTACTGTCAATGACTTAACCGTGATGATACAACTGCTAACATGCAGGATACAAATGCAATATCTGGTAAACCGCTAGAAATCACAATTCAATTATAGATTACATGAATTTAAAAAGAGCGATAATTTTATTAACAAGCATTACTTTAGTCACTTCAGTAAATTTTTATTGACATTTTGATAAATTATTTCACAAATAATCATATTTAGATCAGTGAGAAGTACAAACCAGTGTTCACTATTGCCCAGGAGGCGCCAATATATGGAGATGATGTTAGTGATTTGGATGTATTTTCAGAAGATGACGAAGATGAATTTGAAAAGTTTGAAAACGATGATGAAAATGTTGAGGATATGTAAAAAAAATATCATAAATTTAGGAATTTCGAAATAACAATTTTTGATAACGGCCATTTAAATTTTTTTTTGTTGTTTATTAACACTTATATCCGTTATTATTTTAGTTTCTATTTTTTTTGCAAATTTAAACATATATGTAGGATATGGACAGTCATTGTTTCGTATTCTATGTCAATATTATCAATTTTACAAGATATACATATAATAGGTTTTTTTTTTAAACTACACATATTACACATTTTAGTTTGACATATTCAAAATTTATCATACATAGATTTATCTTGATATATATATATAACGATAAAAATAATATAAATATAATTTGAAAATATACGTATTTCACATGATTATTTTAAGTTTCTTAGCGGTCAGATGAAATGTCGATTGATCTGCATTATTATATAAATGATCGATAACTATTAATAATCTAACTATTAATAATAATATTATAATCCGAAAGTTTAACATTCAACATGGTTTGACTTCATAATACGTATAAATTGTATTTATATGAATCAGATATGTTTATATAAAATTAATAATAAGATTTTTATAATAAAGTTTCTTTATCAAACCTTGTTCTATTGGTTTATGATCACATGATAAATCATGTACGGAAAACTTGCCGTGATCCTTCACAAAACAAATACCTACTTAAAACATGTATTAGCACTAACAAAAATCAGAATAAGGACCCATTAATTTACTCTGTATGCCTTATTTCAGTATTTAGTACCTAAAATTCTGACTGATATATTCAAATATTTACAAAGACTTGAGATAGTCTTCAATGTTTTATACCAACTGGGAATTCTTCAATGCATGAAAACACTATTATTCATGATATAATATATATAGTACACGGATATAAATCAAAATTTAATCCTCAAAGTGTTCTGAGTACAAATCATAAAAGCACAACAATCAACACTTTAAGTACATTTTTTTGTTTCTCTAACTACATTGATCGTTTTGTAATTTTTTGCACTTCAAAAAAGAATCATAACTAGATAAAGTGTCATTTATTAAAGGGCATTATCAAGCACCATAACTAATAAGTAATAAAGTGTTGATATATAAATTTACTTAGCAAAAAATAGTTTAAACTAATAAAATACTAATTAGATATCTAAACTATTCTAAACTTCAGGCATTATTACCTACCATAAGTAATAAAGAACATTAATAACAAATATCTAAAATCTGGTTTATAAATTTATCCATCTTCGAGATTCATATAATTTAGGTTAGAATATAGATCCAATGCTTAACACTCTACTGTAAATCAATGATTATTAATAGAAATCTTGGATATCAATAATGGTAATTTCATATTACGTTATTTGAGAATTTATTTACTGTACCTGAACGTAACATATTTGATACAGCGTTTTAATTTTAACATAAAATTTTTTGATTGAAATACTGACGTTAATTTATTATTCATAGTTCACAATTTGGATCAATGTTTCTTTTACATTACTGTATAACAGCTATAGAAAATAATAAAGTGAATAATTATTGAAGATGAACCTATATAATATTTTTACTTTGTTCAATACGAGGGATTAGCATATAGTTTATAGAGATACCGTTTAAATAATTTTTATCTATGAAAAACAATAGAAAATTTGCATTGCCTCACGGATTAACAGATATTAGCGATAATGATAACAGTTAATACAGTAACAATAACGATAACCGACAATACTGTAATATATTTCAAGATCTTAAAAATCTGTTTTATGCAAATCTAATATTAATATAAAAAAGTATTATAATTAAAGTTCACTATTGATTTTTACATCATCCAATCAGATGATTAGTACAAATTTGACATGTTATTGTATATGGTATGAATTTTATCTGTAATTGGCTAATTACAGATGTGCATCTTGTAATTGTTCAGATCCAAATGCATAGAAGTATAACATCCTAAACTATGCTTCGAATAATAATTTTATAGTGTTAAGATGCACTAGACAAGAGATCATAGCAAATATTAGTTTAATAATAAGGTTGCATATTGTGGTCAATTCTGAGAAATGAGAATAATATAAGTTTAAGTTGCAAAATAGATTTAGTAAATTAGTATTTATTAAATTTCATTTCAAACATATATTATTTTCAATCACATTATAAAGACATAATTAAAATTTTATAAGAAACTCTAAATATCAATACCACCAAATGTTCTGCGGATTTTTGCGTGTAGCAAAATGCTTTGAAGAATTCATATTTGATATTTTATTCGTATGCAAGCTACAAATATATGTCATGTGTATATCATGACTCTTGCTGTTAAAATTGCAAATTTTGTGTTTTGATACTTCTGCACTTGCTTTTTTGATGCACCTAAACATACCCTAAAACTAACCAATAGAATTGTATGGTTTTATAACAAAACATTATAAAACTTTTAGGTTATGTTAAAGTGTATCAAAAAAGTAAGTGCGGAAGTATCAAAAACGTAAGTTTTGCGTTAAAACTGACAATGCGGTTACTGATATCCATGTATGAGCTTGTAACGTAGGAAATAATGTAATCGAAAAGTCTATAACTTGCTTCTGGAAAGGAGCATTCAAAACACATTAATTCAGAATAGCAATCTAATAAAAAGCCATTCATATCACAATTGCTATATATACAGAAAAAGATATAAAATTATAGATTTATATTTTATTTAATTTTATTAAATACTATACTAGTGTTATCCATGTTCAAGTAGTCTCGACAAGAATCATAAAGAAACAAAATATTAAGTATAAATGAAATAATAAAAAGTCATTTATAATGTTGATCTTTAGCGTAATTAATACTTGTTCCAATGTTGTTAGATTCATTTGATGGTAAAATTATTAAAATAATCGGAACTTCGCCAACAATTTGAACCACTAGAGTCGGTCCATAAATTTATAATTGTGATAAATCACGTATAATTTTTGTATCCATAAAATCATGACTTAGTTGTTGAGTCGACTTATTATTTAGCAATATAAAATATATAGCTAATATAAAAGATACTCTAAAGAAATAATATGTCATTTAAAAATCGGTATCGGTGTGTATTCACGATCAATAAAAAAAAATTTTTATACTAAATTAAAAAAAAGATAAAATAAATAGAATTTTAATTATGCTTTATAAAAAAAAAAGGTGTGCGCATATATATATTTTAAGTTCGTCCCTTAAGAGATTGCGAGAAAATTATGACTCGAATTACTCGCTCTCAAAAGATTGACCCTAACGGAGATACCATCCATTATCTTCAAGAACATATAAAATATTTAAACCGACAAATTAGAAGATGTAGTAAGGAATCTCATATCAATCTTTTAAACCAAGAAATACAACGAACCCAAAATCTTAAAGAGAAATTAAGACTAAAGGAGATTACCATTGAAAAAGCCAATCAAGAGTTAGACAAACTACGGGAAGAAGTAAAATTGCTTAAAGAAATAATCGACCAAAAAAATGAAACTATAAACAATTTACGAGAAGAAAACGAAGCCTTACGAAGTACAAACGAAGAAACTCAAGCTACAAACATTCAACTTGTTGCCCAAATCGAACACTTTCGTGATAGAAATAATAGCCTCCGCCAAGAACTCCATTCAAATTGCAACAATTTTATATTAAGCCAACAAAAACACATAGAAGACTTACAAAGAACAATAAGGGTGAAAGAAGAATCAGACCATGAATTTTGTAATCAAAGAATAAATCGTTTAGAAAATAGAATATCCTACTTTGACGATCGGGAAAGACAGCGTGCACAGGGTATTGAACTGCCACCATATTTTGCTAGAAGTGATGCTTTCCTCGGTGAACAAGAGTTTGATCAACAGTTTAATCATTAAATACAGAATAATGTATTACATATTATTCATAAATACATCAATAAAAGATTTTTTTTTTTGAAAATTCACTTTAAAATAATTTTATTATAATATTTTTTATTATGTTTAATAGTTTTTAGTAGTTATCACAGTAAAAACAGTCTGAGTTCGAATAACTTTGATAGATTATTTAATATTCAATAAAATCATAGGGTTCGTTGCGAAAGCTCTAATCGAACTACTTAAACATTTAAAGATTAAATAATATTTTTAATATTGTTCAAATCTATAATAACTTTATTATCAATTGTAACTTTAATAAGAAAAACAGCTCTTATCAGAATATTAAAACTCATCATACAAGAGCTGACATAACATGATTAGTGGACCAACGGTCGAACACCAATCACTAATGGCCTAACCCATCACGCATCAGAGA